GTCTTCACGTACCGGCAAGGATAAGGAAGTCAGTGCTATCTCAGGGATGTTATCATTTTTATCCAAAACTCTCACTAAAACGGTGCAATGACCCGCCATGGGAGGGTGGCCTTTGTCTGTAGCGTCAATGCGAATTTTGTATAAATTTACTTGTTCAAAATCCAAATTACCCCGAATCACTATTTCTCCCGTATTTGGAGCTATGCTAAACTGGTCAACAACCATAGTTGGAACAAGGCTATTAAAAGAGTATGAAATTGCCCCATTCTCTCCTTCATCCCGATCAGAAGCATTCAGTCTGATAACTGTCGTTCCGTTGTCTGAGTTTTCGAATATTCTCACTTCATATTCAGACTGCTCGAAAGTGGGAGCATTATCATTCACGTCCAGCACTGTGACCAGCAGCTGAACGGTGCCTGTGAGCTCAGGTTTACCCCCATCTGTGGCTGTCAGAAACAAGTTGTGTGCAGGAGCTTCCTCTCTGTCCAAGGATTTTCTTAATACGAGCTCAACCAGTTTATTCGCGTCATTCTTTGTATTCACATCTAGTACGAAGTAATCATGAGAGCTAAGTCTGTATGTCAACACGGAGTTAGCTCCAATATCTGCATCGGACGCGCCCTCTAGCGGAAACCGAGATTCTGGCATTCTGGATTCTGAAATAAACAGCTTTTGTTCCTTTACCGGGAACACTGGCGGATTGTCGTTAATGTCCCTCACCTCCACGTCCACATGGAAAACCTGCAGCGGCCTGTCCACGATCACCTCCAGGTGGATGCTGCACTCCGCGCTCCGCCCGCACAGCTCCTCGCGGTCGATCCGAGAATTCACAAACAAAATGCCATTCTGCAGATTTACCTCCAGTAGATCCCCGTGTGCTTTGGACGCCACCCGGAACAGGCGCGGCACCAGCTCCGCCAGCTCCAGCCCCAGGTCCTGCGCGATGCGGCCCACGAAGGTGCCGTGTTTGGCTTCCTCGTAGACGGAGTAGTGGAGCTGGCCGCTCCCCACCTTCCAGGCTGTGAGGAGCAGAAGCGAGAGTAGTAGTCGCCAGGATCTCAGGTCTCCTCGCCAGTGATAAACCATGTTAAATAGCCGTTTCCTATCAGAAAATCTTATCTTAATATAAAGATGAACGATTATACTTTCCAGAGTCTTTTAATCCAATTCCGCTGCATCTGCCATTGTTCGGCCGTTAGACAGATGCTCTCAGAGGAACGACTTTGAACCTTGGCTAAACGGAACTTCTTGGTAGACAGCGACATCATGTGGCTTCAAAAGGTAAGGATTACATGAATTACTTCAGCAATATTTGGGTTCTTTTATGCACTTTATATTTCTTTATCATGCTTTAATAGTAAATCCTTAACTTTATCTACTGCAGAGGCATTCATACCGTCCGGCTCCTTACATTAGTTTCAACTTGGATTTCTTTCTTCATAAGAAAAGGAGTTTCTTCCCAATGTTTTAAATATTGTATCAATTAATAATACATTTAAGTATGACCTGTATGTCATCGATATCAGAAATGTAAACTATTCTCCATAGTTTCGTGTGTAAGAAATGCGTTAATATTAACTTGGTCACCAGAAACACTGATGTATATATACTCTGAGGTGAGCATATAATTCTAACTTTTCTATATTTTATCTTCTTGTGGATTGTTAAATTTCTGCTTTTCTTTATTCAATAAATGTCAAATTACCTATACAGTTTTATTTACTAATGTAATAAAAATGTGTGCATATTCTTTCGCTATTTCTCGATATCTCTATAGGTTGTTAAATTAAGCCTCTCTCTTAAAACATTTTCCTTTATGATTTCTCTGACATGCCAAACTCTAGTAGTATTTCCACCATTGGCTTGTTTGTTAGTTCTTTGGCTTTCTTCTGCTCCAAAATGTGGATATTTTCCAGATATATGCCTTCAATCTTTTTCCCCAATCTTTTAATTTAATGTTTCTATTTCCAGGGCTTCAAACTAGCCTGTTACTTGAAGTATTCTTAACTCCATATCTACAACCCTCATTTTCATTTCTACCTGACATTTTTACCTGTATACCCTAACATTGCCTAGAAAATGAGCTGACCAAAATTAAAAGAATATCTAATCAATAGTCACCCAAAACTCAAATAATTAAAAACTCACAATTTTTATAGCATGGCCATTCTCCACACTTACTCATATGTATTTTTATGACTTCTTCTTCCTTGCCTACCATACTCAAAGTTTGTATACATCCCATCTCTCCTTTCATGTGTGATAATTTTTGCCTTTATTAGTACAGATTTTTCACTAGATTGCACTAAAATCTTCAGCAAGTTCATCTTTCTCTTGACCAATTGTCAAGACATTAGACTTCCATCTGAGAGATAGGCTATGTGACAATGAGCCAATCTCCTCAGTGCTAAGGTTAACCACTTTCCAATATGAGTCATATTTTATAGGAAAGATGTTGTCTCCTTCTTGGTACATTCTTTATTCAACGTTTTTCTTCTATTCCTTCATCTTTATCTGTCAAAATTCTGTTCATCTTTCAAAGTCCACCTCAAAAGTAAATTCCCCATGGATTCATCATGAATGCCTTCATCGTAGGTGATTAAGAGCTCCTCTGAATTTCTACAAAATTGTTACCAAAAAAAAGTAGGTAAAACAGGAACGGTGAATAAGGGCATTTTTTGTGAAATGATTTAAATTTTTCCTCACATTATTTACACAAAGACTATCTTCATAGTTGATTCTAAATAGTAGCAAACAATTTGTAAAGAAAACAGCATTACTCAATGTCTCAGGAGTTTGAGACCAGCCTGGGCAACATGGTAAGACTCCATCTCTACAAAAAAAAAAAATTACAAAAATTAGCTGGGCATGGTTTTGTGTGCCTATAGTCCCAGCAACTTGGGAGGCTGCCATAGAAAGATCATTTGAACCCAGGGGACAGAGGTTGCAGTGAGCCCACATTGTGCCACTGCACTGCAGCCTGGGCTACAGAGTGAGACCTTGTCTCATTAAAAACAACAACAATAATAATAATTGGTGAATACAGTTTGGGTGGCTAAGGAGGATCCCCTATCAACTTCAAATATTTCCCAAAATAAATAAGATATTTAAAACTTTCTTAATAATATGCTAGGAAGGTTTTAAATACATATATATGTAAGCATAAAAGGAAAATAACAAAGCAATAAAAACAGAATTACAATTACCATCTTGAAAGTCAAAGATATTTATAGATTTCTCCTCAAAAGTGAATATTCTTTCAACATGAGAAGCAAACTTGGTCTGCTTATGGTTGACATATTACTGCTCAATGGTAAATAATTCTATTGATTATCAAACAGGTTTTTGACTCTGTAGTGCCTCTACCCTTATTCACATTGAAAACAGTAACATAACATAAAATAATTTCCTGAAGCATATTAGAATATTACGAACAGTGAAAATTGACCATCAGTTCTGAGTTTTTATTTTACTTTATTTTATTTTTGAGGCAAGGTCTTGCTTTGTAACCTAGGCTGGAGTTCAGTGGCATGATAACTGCAGCTTGGACCTCCCTGGCTCAAGTGATCCTCCCACCTCAGCCTCCTGAGTGGCTGAAACTATAGACATGCATCATCATGCACAGCTAATTTTTTGTATTTTTTTCTAGAGACAGAGTCTCTACAAAAGATGCACAAGCTGGTCTCAAACTCCTAGACTCAGGCAATGCTCCTGCCTCAGCCTCCTGAAATGCTGGGATTAGAGGTGTGTGCCACCACACCCAGTTAACTATCACTTTTTTAACCAACCAAAGTATTTGTAAAAAATTTTAAGAGTCTGGATGATTCAGTTACTGTTTCATTAATGTCCATAATACAGAACTGGATGAATAAATTATGATGTATCTGTACAACAAAGATGCAAATACTTTTTAAAATAAAAAAACAAATCATCAAAAAGAAGTAAGCTCTAATGAAAAAATATGACACAAAACCCAATATACAATTTAGGCTGGAGGCTGTGGCTCATGCCTGTAATCCCAGCACTTTGGGAGACCAAGGCAGGCAGATCACTTGAGCCTGAGTTTGAGACCCGCCAGGGCAACATGGTAAAACTCTGTCTTTACTAAAAATACAAAAAGAAATTAGCCTGGCATGTTGGCCAGTGTCTGTAATCTCAGCTACTTGGGAGACTGAGGCATGACGATAGCTTGAACCTGAGAGGCAGAGGTTGCAGTGAGCCAAGATCACACCACTGCACTCCAGCATTGGTGACAGAGTGAAACTATTCTCAAAAAAAAAAAAAAATACATGCATATATATATGTACACGCATATATAATTTAAAGTGGAAAAACAAAAAATGCAGAAGGGTAGGTTTCTACTGTAATCACTTCTTTTTAAAAGGAAAAAATGGAAAGACAAAAGGCAGGCTGGGTGTGATTGCTCATGTCTGTAATCCCAACACTTTGGAAGGCCAAGGTAGGAGGATCACTTAAAGCCAGGAGTTCAAGACCAGCCTGGGAAACAAGACTCCACCCCATCACTACAAAAATTAGCCAGGCACGATGACACACTGACAGTATTCCCATCTACTCCAGAGGCTGAGGTGGGAGGATCCTGTGAGACCAGGATTTACAAGTTTCAGTGACCTATAATCCCGCCACTGCATTTCAGCATCCTAGATGATGAAGTGAGACCCTGTCTCAAAAAAAGAAAGGAAAGGGGAGGAGAGGAAGAAGGGGCAAATTCTAAAAATATATATATAGGCTATTTACAATTTGGCAATTGTAAATATATACATATATTTATAATTTGGCAATAATCTTAGAATATATTTTAAAAAACTAAAACTGCTTCAGAAATTCAGAAAGCTAAAGTGAATGGTTTGGGTTTGGAGGAGGCAAGATTTTTCTCTACGTATTAGATTTGACTCTTTGAAATTTTGAATGTGAATATATTTCTTATACCAACAAGGAACAAAATAAAAAATACTATTAACCTGCCATTTAAACTGTTTTTAAATTGTTCATATTAATTCATCATAAGCGTGGCAAATACATTTCAACAAAGTTAAAAAGAAATCAGTACTAAACAAATATGATAAAAAGAAGATAAATTGATGTAAAAGAAATTTTTTAAATTCAAGTCCTAGACTACAGATAGAGGCAAAATTTAACAGAGGATTTTGACACATATATATTTTATAAAATGAGGAAAATACATAGAATAAATATTAAGTAAAATATATATTGAAATTTGTTTAGCATTTATACATATTGACTCTCAAAATATGGATATGTAAATATTTAATTGTGTAAATACGCTATAGAAGAAAGGTGAATCCATTGTTCCAGTTAACGAAGTCCTCCTCCAAAAATAGAGAGTAACGAACATAAACCATAGATTTTGATCTACAGTATTACATATCCCAAAACAAAAGGATATATTAAATGTAATTCCAAATAATTAGTGCAAATACAGTATAACACTAAAAAATAATTATATATAAAGCTATCAACTAAAAAAGAAATTATGAAAGAAAATTTAAGGAGACAAATTGAACAAATTATTTTTAAATTGTTGGAAACAAGATTATTTATGACTCACATTGTCTGTAGAGGAGGGACCCTGAGGAAGGCTTGGACTGAAGGCCATGAGATCGGTCTTGTGTGGGGCCTCCCCAGAGCACACCCTCTGCCGCCTCTGCTGTGAGAATGACCAACTCCCCACCGCGCTGGAGCACACCAGAGTAGGCTTTACCAGACCACATGCGCCCTCGGAGGACGGCGCTGAGCACCGCAGCGCAGTGTACAGCAGCAGGGTAAGCACCAACAGACTGGACACGGCGCAGATGGCGATGATCAGGTACACGTTGACATCCACCAGTGTGGTCTCTGGGCCTGCAACGCCCACCGATGCCCGCGACGATGCCTTTGGCGCCTGGCCACTTTCCACCAGCGACACCAGCACAGTGGCCGTGGCTGTGAGCGAGGGCTCCCCGTGGTCCTTCACCAGCACCAGAAGGTGGTGGCGCGGTGCATCCGTCTCGTCTAGGGCTCGTGTCGTGCTGATCTCGCCAGTATACAGCCCCACGCGGAACGGGATGCGCGTGCCGGCCGCCACCGGTTGCAATTCGAACGAAAGCCACGCGTTGTAGCCTGAGTCAGCATCAACTGCGCGTACCTTCGCCACCACATGACCGGTGCCCACAGACCGCGGCACGAGCTCGCTCACAGCGCCACCAGTGCCACCCACTCGAGGCGCCAGCAGGGCCGGCGCGTTGTCGTTCTCATCCAGTACGAACACCTGCAGCGTCACGTTGCTGCTCAGAGGCGGCACCCCCGCGTCGCGCGCGCTCACCTGGAATTGCAGCAGCTCCAGCTCCTCGTGGTCCAGCGGTTGCAGCGCGTACACCTTGCCGCTCTCCGCGTGCACCGACACGTAGCTCGACAGCGCGCGATCGCCCACCCGCCGCTCCACCAGCGAGTAGGACACCAGTGCGTTCTCCTGTGCGTCCGCGTCCTGAGCCGACACAGTGAAGATGTGGCAGCCCGGCGGGTTGTTCTCCTTCACGAACACCGTGTACTCGGGCTGAGCGAACGTCGGCGCGTTGTCGTTCACGTCGGCCACCTCCACAGACACGCTTGCCGTGGCCCACAGCGAAGGGGAGCCCCCGTCCCGCGCGGTCACCACCAGCTCATAGGCTGACACGCTTTCGCGGTCCAGGGCACTGTCCAGCACCAATGAGTAGTAATTCTTGAAGGTGGACACCAGCTTGAAGGGGACGTGGGGCGTCAGGGAGCAGGTGACCTGTCCGTTTACTCCAAAATCTTGGTCAAACACGCTAATCAATGTGATGACTGTACCTGGCTGGGCGTCCTCTGAGATAGGGAGAGACAGAGAAGTAAGAGTCAACTGTGGAGCATTGTCATTAACATCCACAACTTCCACAAGAACTGTGCAATGACCAGCCAGTGGTGGAAAACCTTTATCGACAGCCTCTACTGGGATCTTGTGTGCTCTACTTTCTTCAAAATCCATATGTCCTATCACTGTGATTGCCCCACTTACGGGGTCCATGTGGAACTTGGATTTTATATCTGGTGAAACATCACTCGAGAAGGAGTAAATAATATCCCCATTCAAGCCTTCGTCTAAATCTGAGGCATTGGGGTTAATCACCAGCGTTCCAACAGAAACGTTTTCTGGTAATTTCACCGTATAGAGGGTTCTGTCGAACACTGGGGCGTTGTCATTGACGTCCAGTACTGTGACGAGTAACTGAACGGTGCCAGTCAGTTCAGGCTTGCCTCCATCGGTGGCCGTAAGCAATAAATGAAACTCCGGAGTTTCTTCTCTGTCTAGAGGTTTCCGTAATACAAGTCCAAGTGGTTTTACCTGCTGGTTGCTGGTTGGCACGTCCAGAGAGAAATATTC